AAGTGCGAAATGGACGTGTGGGACTGGCTGGGCATCAAGTTGATAATCTGCTAAATTTTCTAGGGAGGCCTACTCGGTTATTTTGGAGCTATTGAGCAAAACCGCATTCAACATCAAGCAGAGGTAGAACAGAGCATAGAGACCATCACCTCTTCCGATCTTGGAATAAGCAAAGTAAGTATGGGTTATCCGATCTTTTATCGTATAATATACGGACATGCGTTTTTCAACAATCCTTATGAAAATTTAGATGATTACAAAAACTTAGGTTTTATCGATTCCATGGGTGTAGAGCTTTCGCGTCCGGAGAATGATATTGCCAATTTATCTTAAAAAACTTATCAACCTTTCATCTACATTGTGATAAAACATGGAAGAAGGGATAATTTAATTTTATATCAATTCTCTTTACAATAACGACACATTTTAGGTTGACTCAGGTGCAGCAGATGGTCAGAATACAATCGACCAACTAAGAAACCAGATCATTGTTTTAAATGAAGAGAAGGAGAGGATTGAAAATGAAAAAATGCAAATTGAAGACCAGCTAAAAAAGAAAAACAATCGGCTTAAAGAGGCCTTATGGATAATGAATGGAATGCATGACGAGATATCAACATTTACCCCAGAGTGCTTGGACCGCTGTGAAGAAAATAGCAAAGGAGAGGGATCTACATCAACCGTTCAATTTCACCATGTAATATCTCTCGTCCAGTCATACTGTAGGCAGTTTGAACAGTTAGAGCTACGTCTTGCCGTGGACAATGAAAGACAACTGCTACATGTAGAGGAGGCTGACCTTTCCGAGACAATTAGCGACCTTCAATACAGAGTGAGCATAATGTTGCATACACTAATAATATCATGTAGTTGTAAGACAAGGCAATAAAAAATTTGCATGTAAGAAAGTAGCCTCCCGAAATCCTGAGTCAAAGTGCGAGAAATTACGAATCGTACTTTTGCATGTAACGAGGGTAGAAGATAAGTATTTCATCTTTTATCCTTAGACTACATGGCAGACGTCTTCCACCAGAACGCGAGCAAACTATCGAAGAAGTGTTACTTTAAAAAAGAGTTAGAAAAAAACCTTAAAACCCACATTTTCCCCCTTTCTTTAGAAAACCGATTTTTGAACACGCCATGCTCCTAAACAAAGCGTAGGACGTGCTATCCTGTTTAGGAACTGACTATTTCGTCGGTTTCATCAGTAATTGCCTTATGAAA